GTAGATCCCAGATTTTACTGGATCTCTTTCCGCTTTGGTTTAATGAATTCAAGCATTGGTCATCTCTGAATTTGTAGTATGTGGGTTGGATTTGTACCTATTTCAAGAGACACGCGTGATTTTGGGTTCGGGTGGATTTACAGGGTAGGATAATTCTACCAACACAGGGTAGAAATGAATTCTCTTTTGTTTAACCTTTGGAGGTGTTGTATATTGAGTATGAAAAACTTAGTTGAGTGCTTGAAATGCTTAAGGTTTTGTAAAATGACCTCTAGAAGCTTTGCGTTTGGTCGGAGCCGCTATGTGGGAGTCCAGAACTGTGATCCGTTGGACTGAATTGAGTTCAAAGCAAGCCCTGGATAACGGGGTATAAGAGCTCTTCGTAGCAAAACAAGTAAGCAAAACGCAGAAGATGACGTGGCGGGGCGAGGGGGCACGCTGACTCTAAATCAACCGCGACGGTGGGTGGGGGCATTGCAAAAAGGGTGTTGATTTTAATAGGCCTGGTGAGGTTTGCACATCTAATCGGCGCACATTTATGCGAAAGACTGGCCTAATCTAGGGACCCCCAAAACAATTTAACAGTAGCGGTAAAAAGGTTGGAAACCTTTTTCAGGCTTTTTAAGTGAAGCCTACACTTTGTGAACTGAATCAAATTGTTTGGTGGGATTTTTTGATGGAATGTGTATTGTACGGCATGCCAGCTCTTTTTTTGGGTGCAGAACTCAGTTAGACTTAAGATCTTGACTTGGTCTCTTCCACAACAGCTTTTTCTCCTGGGTTTTGGAAGGACCGTCTAGGAGGAGGGGAGGCCGACGGGCTCAATGCTGTAATAAACCACTATTTTTCGACTAGTTCTAAATATCGAACAGGAGCAGTAGACCAGTAGACCATACTTGTATTTAGCCCAGCCTACAGTTTTCTGGATACTAAGAATTGGGAAAGCGCCGCATCGTCGGACACACAGTCACCCATGACCATACTTCCACTCTTGCTAACTCCTGAAGTTTTTACCTGAAATGGGGTTTCCACTTGTCAGAGATATTATGTAGGGCTTACACGTTTTCAGAAACGCAAAGTATCATGTGTCGGCTAGAGCACAAGTTTTGCCTCTTCGCCTTCGGCCATAGGGTAGCGGTAAAGATAAAGGGAAAGCATTTGGGCATCCCGCTCGTTCGAAGCCCAACAATCGCTGTATTGTACCGGACTTTTCATAATCGCTTGGTCCCGCAGATGTTGACCTGACTCTGAGTTAACACTGGACTGGACCCGAAAATCCGAAGAAGTAGTTTTCTGATTGGGGATGTCGATTGGACGGGACATGCCAGGCCCTTCGAAGTCCTTAAAGGCAATCCCGGGATAAAACTGGTGATAAGAGCGCTTCGTAGTGATAGCTTAGCTGCGGAACGACCTGAAAGTGGGAAGGAAAGCAAGAGAAATCTTTGGGAACGCTGAAATTAAGGCCTTAACCTTCAATAAGGTCGGATGTGGTACGATGGCGAGACAGGGCGATCAAAGAAGACAAAACACGCGAGAGAGCACGCCGTTCGAGAGAGCACTGATCTCTATATTCAGCGGTGGGTGGGAAGCGTTGCAGCGAGGGTCGATGGTTGCAGGTTCGTAATGGATTAGCGCCCTAATCGCGCAATTTGGGCAACGAAGCTGGAGTGATCTATTAGGTACGGACCCTACAATTTCCCTCGCGGTATCCTTCCTACTAGTCGGGCTAATCCCGGGGTTTGCCTTTAAGAGGGGCAACTTCTCTTGTGAGGATGTTTTCAGTGAGAAGTCATTCTTCTTATGCTTGCTCGACTCCAACAACGCTAGAAACTCTGATAATAATGCTTCCGTAGAGTCTTAATTAGATAGAAACAGTTCCAATCTCGTATTCTGGATTGTACATTTTGGAAACCTTCCCCTTTTCAAAAAAAGAGGGTAATGTTTCCTGACTGCTGTGGAGAGACCACCTCAAAGTGGTGGATGGTATCGTTGGTGTGAACGGGCCTGATCCGGGACGTGATATCAAGATAACGGGTGTCAAAATGGCGTCACTTCTCCTTTTATAGCTTCTCACGCAATGAGCATAGGGAATCACCTGTGCTTCTATTAACTAGAGTAAAAATCATATAGAAATCTAAATTCCTAATTTCCTTATCATTACATGTTCTCCTCATCTCTCTGACAACCGTTTTCTTCATTCCATTGCGAAGCTCCTCTGCGAAAATACACAGATGAATTCGGCCGGCGCTATCCCTTGTACCAGAGGTGCAAGTCAATAAACCTTGGATAGTTGTCAAAGCTACGAACTAGTTTCTGACGGGTGGAGTTGGGTTTACCCAATCGATTCGATTCATTTAATCTCTGAATCTATTCTCTTGCTATAAAATTACTGATCTTTTTTTTTCTCGGGTTTCATCACTTCTGAAAACAGTTATCAAAGGAAGTAGCGCTGTTTTAGTTCTAGGACACTAACCAGGGAAGGCATTCAACTTCCCATGGAACTTTGAAATGAGACCCAGATATATCGATAGAGCTTCAAACGCTGATTACAAATATGGAAACTAAAACTGCAAAATGAACCTGCCAAGGAAGTTGTGAGCAGTCAAAATTGGCTGAAGTGAAGCGCTACATATTAACCGTGCTGTGTTCCAGGCTTTCAATGGTCGTCGCGGAATAGCGATAGTGCCCCCCCTCACGGGAGGTCATAAGTTCTCTTCCTGTTGGGGTGCAAATTTTGAGGGCACTCCCACTACTCCACGGCGACTCTGAAAGCTCGGAGGCTAGCATGGTTAATACGTAACGCTTAACTTGGAGCCAACTTTGACTGCTCACAACTTCCTCGGTAGGTTCATTTTGCAGTTTTAGCTCAGATGTTTGCAATCAGCGTTTAAGCTCCATCCATATACAGGGGGGGGCCAAAAAAAACATTTTGCCCATCTCGCACTTCCATTTTATCTTCGCAGAGATTGCCGTCGTTGACGGGAGTTCCTCAGCAAATATTCCCTAAATGTCCCTCTATAAGTAACGCAGGCCCTCCTTCACTGCCCTCACCGTCTTCAGAATATGACGTCATCTGTCACCGTCGTCAGCTCAAGGAGGCCTACCGTAACTGCTTCAGCCTGAAGCTCTTACGTAATTTCGTGAATCGATTCAATGTTGGATAAATTCTTAAGGACCTTGGCTCCAACTATGCAAACCCCCTCGTAACTCGCTTTCCAATAGAGGTCGTTATGGTACACGATCCTTCGAAGACCCCATTGAGCTCGATCAGCGCACCATGTTTACGAAGCAAATTTTTCTGGTGCCACCCACGTAGGTGGTCACTAAGAAGTTTTTCTTATAGAATGAAATGTGCTCTTCAATACCAAGCTGGGCTCATTCGGTTTGAATTGAGCAAAGTGTGATTAAATCCATCTGAGCGCGGAGACAAAATGTCTTTTTTTTATTGGCCCCCCCTGTATATGGCTCCACACTTTCAAAGGTTCCATAGGAAGTTGAATGCCTTTCCTGGTAAGTGTCAGAGAAGCCAATAGTCGCGGCAATTTATAATCTTGCAGGAAGCTGATCTCTCAGTGATTTTGTCCACCAAACGAAGACGCAAAACTACGATGTAGACCAAGTTCTTATAAAATAGCCCAGGAAGAGCCGACATAACCATAGTGATTTATAGCAGTCAAGGTTCAAAAAAATGAATTTTTGTGGACTTTATGCCACTGTCCACTTGACAGACATAGCCGAGGGAAGTCTGTTTAGGCTTCTTGAGCCCTGAGTCGGCTAAAAATGACCCAATCCAAAAGTGCCGTGTTCTCTTGCATCACGCCATTCTTTCCCAAGCGTTTCGTTTCCATGTGGGCCTTGGCTTATATGTTTGTACACATTTGCCATGTGATGCAATAAGGATGCCTATAGAAGTGTTTTTCTTCTTGAACGGTTGTTCTAAGGCTCGTCGTTTGCGAGAATTTGTTCTGTTCGTCCGTTTTCCAGGAGCCAACAGCACATTTCCTCATTTAAAGAGGTTTTTCTTTCCTCCCTCCTTTTTTTCTCCTTCAGAACTCGACTGCTCTTTTCTTGATATCTTCAATCCATAAAATATGGTAGTGGTGAAGGGAACGTTCTCACGCCGAAGGATGACGCAGGGTCAACGTCACGTTGGACAAATTTCAAAAATTTTACGACCCCCCCTCTTCTGGAGGGCCTCGATACGACCCCCAGGGTGCGCCCTACCGTTGGTACTTTTTGGAAATTTTCACGACCCCCCTCCATCACCATGAGACTCAGGTGCAGGGTCAACCCTACCGTTGGGACTTTTTGAAGAATTTTTACGACGCGTAAAGCGTTACCCTACGACCCCTGTTGAAGTAGGATTGACGCTGCCTCCGACCTTGGAATACGACCCCCCTTTTCGGTCGGCCGAATATGACCCCCCCCGTTGGGCAAAGTCCAGCGGACGGTTGACCCTGAGCTGGCTGCGTCAGAGTTTTCGTTGCGAGTTTTTTTAGTAATCAAAACAATTCCTCAATTGAAATCTGGCCCACAGTCTGGGATTGGGCATTACCAACCCTCCTGCAACACCTGGCGCCTTTGTAAAAAGCCTTTCGTTCTTGAAGATGCTATGCTTTTTAGCTCGTGCGATCCATTCTGATATCTGCTTAGCTTACTTGTGCTAAACAACAAGGGTTCTATAATCACTCAACGTTTCCTGAATTCAAGTCGTTTCCAAAAAATTTGGTCTCAGACGAGACTCGAAACCGCATTTATTTTTTCCGATCGACTCATTTATCCATTACGCTATCTCCATGCTGCATTTTTGACCCGTTGAAAAATCATCACAAGCTTCGCGAGAGTGTCGAATACAGCGTGTCACATGAACAGCCATGATAGTTGAATTGATAGTCAGCTGAACTGTGGTTATTCCAGTCCACACTTGGATGCGAATCCGGATCGACCACTGAGCTGACCACAAAGTCAAGAATTCAGTAATCTATTGAACAGCGAAGAAAATGCCTTTCAAACAGCCCCTCGGTGAACGTGCCGAAAATCGCATCGCTCCGTCTTTTATTCGGGTTGGTTCGCTAAAGAATTTCTTACAGCTTATTCTGATCATGTTTTTTCATATTTATTTTTTCCCTATAAGAACACTTAGTTTCAGAACCCTTGAAAACATGAATGTTAAATTTTAGTTACTATTTCCACAGTATTTTACCTACTATTGCAGCCACTGGCCGATAAAGAGAGCGGTAGTCGGCGAGCGAGTTGTGCTGCAGTGCCAGTTGGACGGTCATCCGACACCGGCCGTGAAATGGCTCAAGGATGGTCATAACGTTTCCAACTGCCCTGACTATGAGGTAATTTATTGTTAGTAAATTCTGGAGCCGATTTTGGGAGCCTGTGTCCCACTCGGAATGTAATTGCCCTATGCGATTGCTTAGATGTGCTTATAAAATATCAAAGATTGAATCATGGTTACA